CCAGAACAGTTCTGACTTAACATCACTCTTCGAATGCATCAAGGAGCCTGGTTCCACGAATAGCTAATCCAAATCGCGGCATCTCCGTTCCCTAGTGATTGGAAAGGCCGACGCGGAATACCCTAAGCTGGCTGAATCCACGGCCTTGCTAGCCTATGAAAGCCCCAAATGCGTGACTTTCAAAATTTAGTGGCATAGCCGGGGAATAAGAAAAAGCAATTTTTCTGGCTCGACTACTTTTCAGTAGGCCAGCGTGGACCTAATGTCTGGTAATTTTCCACTTTTTAAGCTGCGCTTTGAAATTTCAAAAACATCAAGACGTCAATGATTGCATTCTTTAGACGTCAAAAAGCGTTTGAATTATTTCATTTGCTATGACTTTTGTTAAAAAAGTTAGTAATATTAATCTGTATTCTAACGTTGGTTATGTTACAGGGATGCCCCCAACGCTGATTGCAGCCATGTCAAACTCTTTGGTCCTAGGCTGCGCATGCCAATTTGTTCGATAGATAAAAAGCGAAAAGATAGGTTTGAGGTGGCTAAATTTAACTAACACCACCCATCTTGCACACGGAGGTTGTTACGGGCGGTGTATTTTCATGATTTATTAATATGAATCTGGTAAAGGTGCCAGTACATTCCAAATATATTTTACCATGGCAATCTTTCAACTCATCTGACAGAATGTATTGAAATTCTAGTCTTTTGAACTATTTTGTTCTGAAATTAAGTTGTAAATGAGGATCCGAGACGTTGGATTTAAATGTCTATCGACCCTTAAAGAGCAACTTTTTTCCCCTTAGCAAAAAAACAGACAGAGCAATGCAGTGGAATGAACTGAAAGCTGGTTTCATGTTTTAAAAATCGTCCCGGCCATTCTTTGGCTTTTTCTTCAGGGTCTAATGTACAGTATGATCGAAGCGCTTGGTTGGTGCGTGTTACTCTATTTCGGTTCTCGCCTGGCTCAGGTCATCTACAGCATTATATATCCATATTATATTGCCAAGCCACTGAAACTCAAAGAAGCTGCCGGCGGTAAATGGGCAGGTTTGTGTGTAATATTATGTGTTTTGCAATATTGATGTTCATTATCTCTAATTACATCGAGCTCCCTTAAAAGCACTAACTCCGCGTATGTTTCACACTACGTTATACTCGAAAATCGTCTGATTTTGATATCAGTGAAGGCTTTACCAAAGCAATCCGAAACTTTCTCCGTGTTCATTTCTTCGTGAGAGACGAAGGCATTCGGAAGCAACAAGCAGGTGCCAAAAACAAACAGCCCTTAGCAAAGCTATCTGTGGGTTTTTTTATTGCGGACTGCATAAAAGCAAGCACATGATGGGCTTGACTCCTCAACTTGTGTCACTACCAATTTTTCGTCGAAATGAATGAGTGAATCATAAAAAAGTTACTGTATGTAGCAGTAGGAAGTAGTGCAGCCGCTTTGTAGGTCGAAAGTTCAAATTTGCCGAATGAACAACCAGGGCTCATTTAAACTGAACAACAGGAAGTTGGGGAGAGCGAAGGAAACGAAGAAGTCGCTCGAGGAAGGGTTTCGAAGTAAGAGATGTATCAGGAGATGGAAACTAATAAATACTTTGTAACTGTTGCGACTGCAACTAAATTTCATCATTAGACCGATGCAATGCTCCAAATTCTATCATCTGAGGTTGAAAAATAGCGAGAAATACATAAGTGCCATTTACTATACATCCTTGGCAAGATGAATGCGAGACTTGACAGATCTGACATTTTTTGTGTCGAATTACTGCTGTGCAGTACGATCCAAGATTTTCTAGCTGAATTTACCGCTTTTTTGGGCTAATTTAGCACATTGGTCGTCTAAAATCACCTTACACCAAAGATTCCATATTTGACCTTAATTGTTATGGCAGGACCTCCTCCTTCAGAACTAATTCGTCTCTCCATCTCACTAGAATTTTTCTCCCCGGTAGTTAGCACGAAATAAAAATGACCAACATACGTGTTGTGGCCTCTAGTTTCATTGCAGTAGTGACCGGGAGTACCGATGGTATTGGACGAGCTTATGCACTCGAGCTGGCGCGAAACGGCTTTTCCATTGTTCTGATATCACGGACGCAGTCGAAGCTGGATCACGTTAAAGCTGAAATTGAAAGCGCAACAAATGCCGAGGTGTGTTTTTGCGTTTTTGCCTGCTGTAGCAGCTCTATGGGGCTGCACAGCAAAAATGCACAAAAATTGATTACAGTTGCTTATTGTCCTAGTAATACATTTGTTCCCGCAATTCTTCCAATCATTTTTTAAAATTTAGGTTAAAACTATCGCGTATGATTTCACGAAATCGAATATCGCTGAATTCGAAGAAAAAATATTATCTGTATTGCAGGATCTCGAAGTCGGCATAGTTGGTAACTTATGTGAAAATTTAATTTTTGTAATTTTTGAGAAGCAAAAACTGAAAATTTACGCTTGAAGCTGCCGATGCCTACGTTTATCTAGACATATTGTAGTCGCAAAAAATATGTAGCGTTGGAAAAGTGCCAGAAATATCACAGTTTGTTCAAATGTATTTGAAACCAGTAACATACTGTTAATCATTTGCACTTTTCTCTCTACTACAGCTTTTTTTAAGCAGCTCTACATAACCTCTTGCTAGAGATGATTACATTTGGCATTTCGTGTCACGCGCGTTTCTTCTCGAATGCTTTCACCTGTCGTAGGGAGCAATTGCCGGAGCAATTTTGACATTTGTACTTGGTGATTTATGAAGCCTTTTTTTCAGTCAAATTATTTGTATAGCAACGTATACATCACAAAAACTCGGTATCTGGAAATGCTTGAAAAAGCACTTATGGGCAATACGATCCTAACTTTTTCGTCTTTTTTTTTGTATCTTTGAAATACTGGAAATGTAAATCAATGCATTGCTGGCATTTTCTCCAGTAA